CGCCGCATTTCGGGAAGGTCGTTTGCCAACAGTTGTAAAATGGCCCAAGCCGCACAGCTGGACAGGCGAGGCGAAAGAGACGGGGCTAGTCAGGCGAAAGAGAGGGCACGACACCCGCAGAAGAGGGTCACACATTTATGCAACGAGGCGTCGACCGGCATGTAATTAACTTAAGCCGAGCCTTCCCGACGACGTCGGTGGGTGGCATGGCCATGGGTGTGGGATGGGTTTGGGATGGGTGTATCATAGTACGGGAACGATAGTGTGGCAGGGGGCGGAGGACTCGTTCTCCGAATGCCGAGACACTGGCTGATACATCCAGACGAAGACCCAGCGAGTCTGGGCAATACATATGTACCGTGCTGTATGTGGCACAAGTGTGCTATGTACTACTCGAGGTCGTTTGCCGGCACTTGCTCAAACAAATGAGGCAGCGCTCCCACAAAGGGCCTACATAGGGAGTGGGATCCCGACAGCAGGGGTGAGCACGGTAGCTGTGGATGGTGCTGCCGAAATCATAAAAGTATATTAATCAAGGGTAAACAGCAATATGTCCGACTAATACTGCACATTTATTCGGCTTGAGACATTTATTTTAGGTTGAGGACAATCAGGCCCATACAAACAAAGTTGTATAACCGTACATTCAAGGATTTGTAAAATATTCGAGGCGCTTTTTGAGCTGGATTTAAGAAATACGAATATATTAATTTTAAAATATGCAACCTTCTTTAATTCCAACCTCTTTAAATCTTGCAAGCATTATACTTTGGCTCCTAATTTGTACCATCGCGTATTTACTTCAAAGTTGCATGTACTTTAAAAATCAGCATAACTCCCTCCTTAAAAACTGAAGTATATATTATCTTAGCCACATCTGTGTCTGTTTCCGCACCGAATACATGTGCCTGTGTTAGCTCAAGTTAACAAAAGTGCCAGGCACATTTGCGCTCTGTTGTTACTGCTGTTGCTGCTATTATTGTTATAAAATATGCTGCATATGCCGCACGGATGATTGTGCTTGCACAACTTCAAAAATAAAAGTATTAAAACGAGAAAAATGAAACACTTGCGACAACAATGCTGTGCAAGAACCAAAGGCCCGGGAAGTTCACTTGGCTCTGGGCACTTTTTCCATCGCCACATGTGTGTACACAGCTCGGGAAACTTTGCAAAGCCTTTCTTGACACGACCAAAGTGACGGAGTCTCGGGGCAAATGAATATTTCACGGAAATGATGATGAAACTAAGGAGGAATTCCATTAGCCTGCAACACGACGAAATTTAGACATTGAGGCATATTAATGGGTTTCTTGAATATGAAATAAAAGAAATGACTGGCGAGAACTCAAACTTTTAACAAGAACTTCGTTTTGGTCGTCTAAAAGTTCTTCCAGAACTTAGTTCATTTAGTGTTTAGATGTCATCTAAGTCTTGCTAAATTTACAAGGCAATGATTTTACTTTTATACTAAGTTTATTAGTTATTACAATTCGGCCAATTGGTTTTAAGTATAGTTTTTACATTCTTCAATATGTTGCATTTTTAGCATCATAGAAATGTTTTTAGTTTATGATTTTGCTTAGAACAAACAAAGTTGATAAATTTCGGTGCATTTTACTTGACAAAGATTTCTTGATAAAAAGGTCGGTCTTAACAAGTTCTCCAGTCGATCAGAAATAAGTACGGGATAGCTTGCTGTCGAGACCTCCACCCTAGCGACATTTCTTGTTTTGCATTAATAAGATTGAAACTTCTTGCAAACTAGCTCCCCTTAATATCTGCTTACTACTTCGAATCATCTATCAAAACTCGCATCAATCAAACGCCCCTCCACTCAGCAAAGTTCCCAACTCAATCAACTGAATGGCAGCCACACCTCTCGATCGGACGACCTACCTCTGGCATAGACGTACCCCTCCCATTCCGGCATTCGCAGGGCCTTAATTGAAAATTGCTGTCATGAAAAATACTCATAAACTACGTTTCTAAGAAGTAGCTCAGACAATCGAATGTATTGTGTGTGTACAATATAAATTTCACATAACAATTGTACAATATGCATAACAATGACGAGTTCCAGTTTCAATACACCGAACCTCATCAAAGTCTGGGGCCCAACAAAGAACACAAGTGTTCCGGTGGACACCAACTTGATCCGAACTCAACCGAATGAGCTGAGCTGAACTCACAAAAACCGTGTTGGGATTATGGATGGAAAACTATTGTCTGGGGCCAGGGCTCGAAAATAGTAAAGCGTGCATAAATCAAAACCTATAAATATTTCTGAGCCAGAGATGAGCTGGATATCAGCTGTGTTTATTTTTACACAGAGAAGATATTTTCAAGATTTTCATATTTTAAGGAAAGTCAAATATTAAGAAAAGTTATAACATTTACATTTTTATTTTCTTAATGTGTTACAGAGCTAAAAGGAGTGCAGTTCTACAATCAAGGTGAGGTATAGAGTTGATTGTTTTCCGTGTAGTGAAGTTGGAGAATTTCCGAGTACGGCCTGGCACTTCAACCCATTCTCCGGGTCGAGGCCTCGCAGTCCAGCTCAAACGCACACTCGGGCGTTTTTGAGTAAGACAAACAATATAAACTTCAAAAACGCTTCGTTGCATATCAAATTAATTACAGAGCGAGGCCCCAAAAAAGAGGAGACAGAACAGACCCGACCAGTCTGTCTGCCGGTCTGGTCTGTCTGACAACCCTTGAAGATTGTTTTCTTCTGCAGGGCCCGAAAACTTTTGCACAAAAGGCGAGTTAAGCTTTTGTGACTGCACGGGGAGGGGGTTACTATCTGGGGTGGCAGGGAGGACGAGGCGACAGCTGACAGCCAACAACTCATGCACAGTGAAAACTGAAGGCATAATTTATGCCTTCAAAGTGGATTGTTCAAAGAAAACTTGGAACATTTTTCCCCTGAACAACAACATCAACAGCACCCAGAGCACGTCCTGTCCTCATCCTCATCCCCAGCCCCATTCCCATTCTCGTCCTCGGTTCGTTCTTGTCAACATTGAGAACAATAAAGTCGAAAACAAGATGAATAGCCGGGCCCGAGGATGTCGTCGAATTGGATATGCTCTTTACCTTCTGTATTTCAGGGAATCTTTAAGGACTTCCCTAACCCAATGCCGATCCTCAGAGGATGACAGGAAATGATTGTCTGTGATTGAAAATGAAATAATGCGAGCAGACATCATAGATTATACTTTCAAGTTTGTTCTCTTTTTCAGAACTGGTTTTTGTTATTCGAAAAATTTCAAATGTGACGTGTTCATTTTCAAGAATTTTAGAATGTTAATATCTTAACATTGATTTGGATCATTGTCGTAGCATTGGAATATAACTTCTGGTCTCTTTACTCTTTAGGTATAATTTAGGTTTCTTTAAATGAAAATATAGAGGAAGTTGTTATTTAGTTAGGCCAAAGATATCAGCTACCTATGTCCCACTGTTTCTTTAAAAGGGCATTCGAAGACCGTGGAGACTGTTTGCAGAACAGTGCGGTTTTGTGTGTTTTTCGGTCATGACAAAACAAAATAAGAACTAAAGAAAAACGCAACTAAAACTGAAAATTTGAAACAAAGAGATATGCGGCTACAGAAACAAACCCAGGACTGAAAGCAGCACAAAAACAAGTAGAAGCGAGACCAGAAGGAGAACTGAAACTCATTCATTCCCCAGGTTGGTGCTCAAACACCAGGGACCCCAGAAGATTCTCTGGAAATGGGCCGAGAAGAGTACGATACTGGGAGATTGGGGACTGAATGGGCTAAGCTCACGCACAGCCACGCCCCCAGCCCCGAAAATGTTATTTTAACTACATTTCGGCTTTTTACGGCGCTGCTCCCCTCGAACCTTTGCCCTTTGTCTGGACGTTCCTTATGGCGAAATATTGTACATTTATTAATACATAATCATCTTTGTTGTCGAGCGGCAACATGAGAACCGGCCACATGGAGATTGAGGCCTTCAAAGGTCCCCACGGACGACTTTTGTGTTTCGAGTTCCCCCTGTGTGTTCTCGCCCATTCAAAAATAAAGCAGTAAAATCGTAATAGATATGAGAGCTCCTATCTCTCCATGGTCGAGCCTGCGGTCTATTGTCGTTGTTGTACGTGTTGTTCGCTCGGATCGGGTTCTGGGAAATCCAACCTAGTTAGTAAATTCGAGCTGACTGCCCCGAAAATGTGTTTTTTCTTATTTTCTTTCTGGCCTTTGTTTTTACTTTCAGTTTCCCTCTTCCATTAGGGTTTTGTTTTTGTTCGAGCTGGCTGCTTAGTTGTGCAGAAAGGCCGATTACTCGAATGAGTATAATTTGTTCACGTTGTAGGGTTTGCTTCTGAATTACTAGAAGAGGTTGCCCGGCTTCTCCGAAATATGTATAAACTGCCGAGTACGATAAATATTTTCGTTTGAATGCATTAATCTGGGAATTAGTTGCGGAACAAGCTGACACCGCAGATAGACCCCTGGATTTCAGAGTGGATCATCTGAGGGCGTCGAAGTTGCCTGGAATATGCAGTACATTTTATCGACATGAAACTCAGGTTTTTCACAGAGGTCCGAAGCATCTGCTGGATTAAAACCAGACGTTTAGATTATATTTAATAGTGCATTATTAAACCATGGTTTAATACAAAACACAAAAATAACCTACTTGGTTTTTGTACGTTTTACTTAACGTCAAATACCGTTGACTTTTCTTAAAGTTATTCACTGAAGAAAGCCACTTTTTATTGATCGAAGTTTTTGTATGTAGCATTCATATTTATTGGGTGCAAGTGGAAGAGTTGTCAACGCTAGAATTATGATTAGAATTTTAATTCATTTGAATTCCTATTTTATATTCCCATAAAGGATGACAGCTTACTGAAATTGTACAATTTAAGGCACAGACACACCCCTTTGTGATCCCACCGAAATCAGATTTAGCTATTGTGAATATTTTCCATTTATGTTAATGAGCCATTGTAAAACCTCTTTCAGCCGAGTGTGCAAATCGTTTCCGGCCATCTGCGAGTAGCTCACAATTAGCTGGCCACCAAATTATATCCAGATTCAAAGCAGATGAGGCCATACACAATTACGTCCACAGATCCGATCCGATTCCATTAGCTGAAGCTCGGGACAAGACAAGCGGCCAGTTCCTGTCGCCCGAAATTGGCAAGAAAATCAGCTCAGCGGTCCAAAAAAGAAATGCTAATGAGCGGCGAACAAACCAGTCGAAACGAAAACTGTTTGCCAGTCCATTGTTGAGTGACTAGTAACTAAAGTGAGTGCACCGAAAGAAAAGTACAATTAATTGTATATCAATATTTACAGACACAAGTATGATGTATGCAAATTTATAAATACATACTTTGGTACCACATTAAGGAACAAGTAAGAACTTTTTTAACATTCTTTATTATTTTGAATATTAAACCATCACTTGATTAATATCAACCGTCGAAGCTACCAACTTTTTTTCAGTGCCCCGACTGGCGACTGAATGCCTGAATGACCGACTGAATGAATGAAGGAGACTACTCCTCTCGATGGAGCGACGCACAATTCAATTGAAACTGTTGCCGGATCGGGACTGGGCCCCGAAGTGGGTTTTGGAAGTGGATGTGGAACTGGAAGAACTGCCGGCTTACCTTACCTTTCAAATTGATGAACAGCAACAAAGGCTGCCCGGGGACAAAGGAAAACCGGGCATAGAAAAGCGACTTTCAAAGTTTCCAACGCGACAATGTGAGTGTATTTTATACACGTTTTTCTTTCTTTTGCGAAATTAATGAACTATTCAAATGTCAAAGGATCTGAGGGCAAGAAACGCCGAACAGTTGGTGACAACAAAACGGGCCAACAATAAAAATGAGTCCAGCCAAGAGAAAACCATAAAAAGATTTTTCCCGTTTTATGAGGCCGGCCCCGCAACCTTCTCTGTGTCCCATGACTTTTTCCTCAGTGTGAGTATGCGCTTTTACGAATTCAAAAAGCAATTTACCAAAGGCATCATGAAAGGCAATTCGCTGCTCCGTCTCCGTCTCCAAAACAACACGAATCTCGGGTCTCGAGCTGTAAGTGCCTCTAAGGACGACAAGCAGGTCGAAGTGTCAGAATCCAGACGGGGACTCAGGGACCAGACAAAGCGAGGTCTTCGGCGTACACATATAGTACGTAAATGAGTCGTCCGTGCTGGGTTTTTATTGTCATTGCGTTTTATAGACAGTTTTACGAGCTAACGAAAGTGGTTCTGCTGCGGGCGCAGGAGAGGCCCCGAGATAATGCCCCCCGATCCGAGTCGATGCCGACATATTTGGGGTTTTACGATCCCGCCGCCTTCGCAGCCATTGTGCATTGGGAAAATTGTAAATCACACTTGCCTACGGACCCACGGACAGATATGCGGACAGGCGGACGGTCCCCGTATTGCCCCACATTGGAGCAGACCCCGCGATAAAACATCGCACATAAGATGTATATTAGCGTGTCTGTTAAATTGTTTTTAGTTGCCGACGCGTCTGCAAATGAGCCATTGTTAAAAGGGTGAGGGGGAAACTGGGGAGAAAGGGGCGATCTGCGAACTCGGGGCGACTGGGGGTACTTAAGTATTGAAGCTCTTTAAATGTTGCTACTTGTACGGGTGTACACATGTCTGTGAACTCATTCTCGTCTGATGTTGCATTACGAAATGGTTTCATGCTTGTGCATTCCCCACCCACCGCCTTCGGGGCGAGGTGGGTGTGGGGGTGGTTGCCAAGTGGGTGGGGGTGTGGACGGTGGGTGTTACGCGGCTATCGGTGGTGTGAACTCACTGCGAATGGCCATTCATCGCCACAGTTGTGTTTGAGCTCGTAACTCCCGCCATGTTCGATAATTTACATTGTGCAAAGTTCCCCGCACTATAGGTGAAAAGTTATCTTCTTACAGAAAGCAAATAAAACTGTTAGTACATACATAAATGGGCAGACCATAAAAAGTAGTACTGTAAATAAGGCTTACAAAAACAAAAGATACATAACCGACATATTTCCGACTATTTACAATCATCATAGGATAGAGAAGAAGTAACACGAGAGGGATAGAAGATAGATCGAACAGGTAATCGTTTTAGATCGTTTTAGAACAGGTTAAGTACATTGATATTTCGAGGTTTTATTTGTTTTCTTATTTGATTTGAAAATTGTTTTCATTTTCTTCCAGTCAAGTTGAATTGGCGGTATTTACAGTGTATCTCTCAACAAATAAACTATTAATCCTATTAGTCAGTAGTCTATGTTTATCAACAAGTTGCTAGATAAACCCAATTTAACTCTTCTCATCTCACCATTTTGTTCTAATATCGAGAACATTGATGCCAAAATGAATCTTCACGGCTTTTAAGAACAAATATTCTCAATTCAAGAATAATGTACTTGTTCTTTCTAGTTCTAGAAAAGCATGGTTTAGAATCAACAAATATTTTCATTTACTATTATTATTTTAATATGACTTTACGGCTTACATATCCTTACAAAGAACGCACCACAAGTTTCTACCCCGTATCGCGTATCTTGGCACACACCCAATTACACTTTATGTGTCAATTTGGCTCCAACTCATTCAGACATTTCTTCCAGCGGAGTTCTTCTCGTGTACTTTGTAGTTTGCGGGGCGCGAGAATGAAGTGCGAGTTTGAAATGTTTTGCAAGCATCTGTTAATTGTGCCGCATGCATTTTTAATGTCATTTACCTGGCGACCGGCACTGGTCCTCGGCTGATTTCTAATTAAAATGCACATCGCGGGAGGCGAGGAGTTGCATCTTCTTCTGCGTTATCAACAACTTTCAACCTCATCAAAGCGACTGGCACTTTGGAAATTAATTGCTGACTCTGACTCACGCCACTGCACCCTCTGGATCTCTTTTCATCTGGCTCTTGAAGACACTCGACACGTTGGCGCAATAAAAATAAAACTCATTACGATAAATTGCATGGGGCGAACGGAAAACAGAGAGCTAAACGAAAAGGTCGCTGCCATAATTCAAAGGAAATGCTCAAAAGTCGTTCCATCCACAATCCGATTCGCAGCTCGGTCACTCGAAGCCATTCAGAAGGCGAATAAGATTTTTATTCGAATTTTGAATTTCTAATTCGTGTGTAGTGTAAGCACAAGGAATCAGAAATGAGAAATGAGAATCAGGTTGTGTGCAATCGCTTCTACGGCTTCAAGTGAATCAGGTTTGCAAATCTCTTTCGCATGAACGACAGCATAGATACGAATTCTCCCCCGACGACCTTCCCCGCTGATTTCTCGAAAACTTTTCATTTCGCTTTGCATAATTTACAATTTATTATTTTGCGTAATTTATTGTACGTGCCGCAATTTATGCATAAAATGTTGAACACAACGCTTCATTAATCAGAGTCCGAGTTTTCCCACAGTCCCAAGACTCTACAAGCTACACCGAAAAGAATTCGGGTAGTCAAAAAGTTCCAATAAAATGACAATCGCTACAAAATTGTTTCTATCCATTGGTACCGAATTATTTAGGTTTTGTAGTATAAAGACACCTTATATTTTCGGGAATACTGTAGATCAGGGGACGTATCTCCTAAATTCGAGAACAGTTTTTTTGAATGGGCCCGATTTCTTAGCAATTTATATGAAGAGTACACTTGGCGGTAAGACATGGTTCTCTCGTAATCAAATTTTAAAGCATCGGGTTTTAAATAAAGATTTTTTCAGGTATTTTCAATTATAGTAAATTAATTTGAAGTGAATAATATCCAACATGTAGACAGTTTTTAATGGTATTTTCTCTGTGTATAAGCTGCCATTTCCTCCACCAGGCCGCTCTCTGAAATACTAATTAAGCTTAATGTAATGCACATATGCGATAAGTCGGCGGGGTTAGCCTACCCGAGATTATAACGACTGGCCTCCCTGGCAGCACAATATATTTATATTGTATTTAGGTGGCTTGTCAGCCGGTGATTGATGTGGCAGCGGCTGCTGGCTTTGGCTTTTCTGCCATATTCGGCCCACAAAGCCAGGCTTCAATCCAATCCGAGACTCTGGCGGTGATAAATTGTTGCTCAAACAATGCGTATGACTTTTCAAAATAAATTCATAAACTTGTAGTTTGAGAACGGAGCCTGTTTCTGGGTTGGGTATCGTATTGGACAGAGAAGATTACTAATAGACAAAAACGACTGTGTGAATCAATGTGGGCATTGCGTCAGAGAAGAGATAAGATTCATGCGTGTGCTTAACTCTTTTGTTACTTTTCTGGCCGTGCCATACTCATGATCAAACTATTTTTCTTTCAAAATACTTGATTTCTAAATACCCCTGGTCAAATTACACACAGCAATAAACAAAGTAATAAAAAGCTAGCTTCGGCAGGTCGACTTTTATGGTGTTTTGCGTGTTATTGTACTTTGTTTCTTTATAAGATTTAGTTCGTTATTCTAAATTTGTAAATAAATGTAACCAAGAATAGAAAAGAATGTTATTAAAAACAACGGAGCTATAATTTTGTTTTATAGATGTTATTCTTCTCAAAGCTATAGAATAAAGTTTTTCGATCCGTTCCGTTTCAACTTACATTATGTTATGTTTATAATTCAGCCTAATATATCAATATGTATTAATTTAATATATTTTTGTTTACAATATAAGATATTCAAAAAATTTATATCGATGCCCTTTAGAAAATTTTTAGTTTTTCAACTTTATATAACAGTCGCCTTCGCTCACTCCCCCGGTGCGCTTCGTCACTAAGTAAACAGTCGTCCACAGTGATAATCCTGCTTAAAGATTTTAAAAACTGGCTGGCAAATGTTCTCATAACAACCCAGCTCAGCATACATTTGGTAATATAAATATTCATTAGACTAATTTATGAAGATTTCGTTTGCAGATCCCCCAGACTTCTTACAGATTTTGAATGTGACCCGGCGGGATTATGGATTTTAAATGAACGCACAATGGGTCATCTTTCAATTCCACTCGAAAGTATCTCATAAATGGGCACGCTATCTGGCTGCCGCCTGTATCTTATGCTTATTCCGTTCCATTTACCCGCGTACCCAGGCTTTTCTCTCGCGACCCTCATCATAACTTTCGGCCCTGGTTTATTGTGCCAGCTCGTTTGTTTGTTTTCACAAAATTAAATGCAAACAGCGAGCTCGCAGACAACTTTGTGTGGCAGGCGCCCCATATGCGCGATGCGATGCGATCGAATGTCAAGAAGTTGTATCCCCAACGTTCGCTTGGGCTTGGTTCCCGAACTAAAAGCCAAATAAACAAATGGACGGCACTGAAAAGTGTATAGAGCTCGGAGAGATTTCAGTGCCGATTTGAAGGCGAATTGGGCAGAAGAACAAAGGCCAGGAGACCAGAAAGCACCAAGCGCGTAATTCAATTAAAGGCGAGCATTTTAAGAGCTTTCGGCCAGAACCGAGAGCCCAAACGATTTCCGTTGGTCGCCTGCCAGAAAACCCAGAAGAATCGCTTCTTTCGGCGGTGTACCGCCTGACTTTCATCTATTAAAATATACAAATTGCTTTAGCTGGCTGTGGGTGGGATGGGCTGCTGGGGGCTGAAGGGCGTTGCCTCTTGTCGCCCTTGTCACTTCACACGGTCTGATGCACAGTTCGAGGGGTTGCGGGGTTATGGGACCGTAGGACTGGGGGACTGTGGGACTGCAAGGGGGGGCTGTCCCATGCGCGCTCGTCTTTGACATTTTTAAATTGATTTTTTCGCCGCTGGCTCCATCGACAAAAGCCACATCAGCTCAGGTGTATCCGTTCACACGCCACCTAATTAGTTTTGCCGGCAGGTAGGTAGATAGTCGGGGGTGGGGTGGGTCTTAGGGGGGGCAGTGCCACTCGGGGATGGTTAAATTGGCTTAATCATCGGACATTTTTCATTTACAAAATAATTGCATCTAATTCGAGGCGCGTGTAATTAAAAGTTTTTCAACAGCAAATTACTTTTTCATTGATCGATTCGACTCACTGCACAGGAAACAAAATTAATTATTAATGGATGTTTACAGATTTTAATTATTTATCAAGATACAAACAAATCACATCTAAATATTATATATTCATTAAATATGTTTAGATCTTTAATAAAAGTGTATATTTCTATACTTAAATTCCTGCTCCTAGTCATAATACCAAAAACACATTTTAATTATAAATGGATATTTACAGATCTTACTTATTTATCAAGATACAAAGAAATGCTATTTTTTCTGATCTTTTAAAAAGTTCCTGCACCTTGTCATAATTCTAAAAATACATCATGAAAGAATTTGATTTACTTGCAGGAATGTCCCAAAGTAGTCAGATCATAAAATATTTTACCGTGTGCAATTCGATTTAACTTGGGTTCGAGTCGCTGGGTGTGACCATCGCCAGGGCGCTGTCTACAAATTGTAAATTGATTTTTATCGATTTCCCATAATCAGAATTATTATGGAGAACGCAAAATATCACTCGGCTCGTTATTGCTCACGTCTCGAGTTGCGGCAAGTCTCTTGTCTCGAATTGAAAGTTGATTTTACAATTTGATAAGCGTGCGCAAATTACACGAGAGACCTGCCCCGGGCCTCGAACTCCCATCCCCTGTCCCCCGGACATTGATGTGTTGGCATACGCCTATAAATTTGTTGATTATCAGTCTTTTTTAATGAATTTGGAGAGGCCGCGCCCCATGCGAGTTGTTGAATGCCGAATGCCCCCTGCCTCTTGCCCCTGGCCGCATGTACACATGTACTCCCGTGCCCATATCCATATGCAACAATGTCGGCGCAGTCTGCTAGTGATATATCTTTCCTGATGGGCCCAGACACGCACGCGACGAGTTAAGCCCCACTCGTAGGAGATAGACAAGTCGGGCTGGGCGGAGCTTTATGTGCAGTTTGCATGTGAGGACCCGGTGGGGAGGGAGAAGGGGATGTCCCAGCCCCAAGGAAAGATATAGCCATAAAGCAGCCAGCCCAGAATCGTTGGAGCCATCGAAAGGTCTTGGCTTTTAGCTAACAGCAATTACTTCGCGGCGGATAATTGGAAAAGTGGCTCAAGAGTTTCGGAAATTGAAGGTTAGTCATAAAATATGTTACTCTCAACATGTTTACTTACTTAAGCCTCTCAAACAGTCTACTAATTTTGTGCGAGCAAATCCTCTTTAAAAACT